TAATATTACCATAGTGATTATTTGACTTGTTGAGCGTACACTATGACGTTAATTCTTCCTTATTAGTGGCTAAAGTTTTGGCACTTTCGCCTTCGTCACAACCTGGAAGTCGAACATATTAGCAAACTATTCATGAAACTCGTCATCACTCGAGATATTGTTCCATCAGAAAATACGAACCAAAATTGCAATCAGAGTCACGACATACTCATGTTGAACAGAGCACAATATCGGGGTACTGAACCACCACATGGTGGAGATTGCAACATATGCCTCTTCCGGTGCATTTTGGATTCTTGGCGCTCATCAAAAACGTCTTCAAAGTCCTGCGCGCTGTGACCCCGAGCCCATAGAACAGGATCGTGAATATGTATCTCGGCGTTTGCATGGCTTTCTATGCGATAGCTATTCAAATGTAGAAACTTTGTTTTTATTTAGCCCATTTAGTGATCTTTTACAACGTGGAGGGCGTTTCTCCTAAATATCTCCGGACAAACATGCGGTTAGGTTAATTACTGCGACATCAATTACCTTTCCTGTTAAATGAACAGACTATACAATCCGGAGTTATCAACTGCAGTCATAAGCTCGGTTTCGAACTTTTAAATTTGGGGGACGATATACCGACCGCTTTACCATTGTCGCGCAAACCCGCATGATGTACGCACTGCACTACTTACAAGATGCGAACGGCATGGAAAGCGGTGTTTGTAGTTCACAATGTTTACCTTATTGTTCACAGAATTTCGCGGCTTTTGTGAGTATCATTAATTGAGTACCCGTGCGACTTCGCAATTTCCTGCGTAAAATAATTGAGCAGAGGCGTTCCTGGGTACCTGACGAAGTCTTTGCAGCTGTTCGGTGTATGTTTTTAACAATAGTTTGACAGATTTCCTGATGTTGTTTGGATGCGCGGGGAAGTGGATTAGGATATTCTTGTAGCTTGTTTTGCGACACCATTTAGTTCTTAACTCCCCACCGGACACGCATATTAGAACTTGAAAAGCGCCAATTCCCCGTTAGACTTTTACCGTGTGAACATAATACTTGACAACTGCTGAAGTATGCTATCGCACACATCCATGTCAACCTGTGTTGGACAGATGATGCAGCAAACATCTATATAAGGCAATACAACAATGGCTTTCTTGTCAGCATGGGGCCTCTACCTTAGACATGAAAGCAATGGTTAACGTAGGAGCTGAGCGTTGTCCCATTATTAAACCTTTGACCTACTTATAGTAATAGCCCGACCAACGAAATACACAACATTTGAGGCATTCGTTCGCGAGGGTCATCATGCGTTTATGTTCATTCCTCAATAGGTTAGAAGACGACTGATGTTCTAAGAAGAGTTCGAAAATTGTCCATTGCAGTGTCGCTTCGTACGTTGCTTTATATTAACAGCGTTGAACGTTAGTGTAAAGCAACGTAAAATCGAAAGATTCTATAACGCAGTCAGGAGTCAATTATGTGTTGCGAAGGCGCTAGAGAAACATGTTGCTATAAGGGAGGTGAGCGGGGACAATTAGCAACTAAACCAGTATAGTGTCCAAAAGCCATACAGTCCTATCGGTAGGGCCTGCAATGCTACTAATAATATGTCTTACTTTGAAATCTCGCTCAGTAGGACCAAGGCTGCTGTAAGGGGCATATCTGTTTTGATGAGCTTGTAAAGGACGGGGCAAATAAGCAAATCGCTTCAAGGCGCGCAATGCAGAGCGAGCTGTATCTACTCCAACCTGTTCAGCAAGCGATATTATTTGGCCAAGCCAGCTGCGCTTGATGGCTGGCATACGTATTGTTCTCCGGATGGTTGGCGTTGTCGCCATGTCCACTAAATGTGAAAGTACTACAACCCACCCTTTTTGTCTTGCTGATACAATGATCTCTCCAGCGGTCCAGCGATCACCACATTTTTGCAATTTGCGGCGTTGGGCCACCGTTATGTCACTGAGTGAGCGTTTTTGGGCAAATATTCAAAAGATTTGATTAATCAATAGAAATTCAGAACAGGAAACAGATGTTAATCCCACTGCTTTTGACCCTTCCTGGACAAGATGCACACCCAAAATAGAATGCAAGGCTTGCATAGCGGATGCCATGTTGGCAGCTGACGCTAAGGGTGTTTTTCCTTGAGTCAGAAGAGAGCAGCATGCAAAAGAGCTTTGCTGCAAAGAGACTCTATCGTTTGTGATGTGCGTTGCGATCATCAAAAGAAAAGGATGAATTCATTAATGATCATGGTTGCTTCAGAGGGAAAAAGCCGTAGAAAAATCATGTACTTTTCTGCATGAATTGCATACTATCTTTTCTGCCTTTCATCGCATTAACTATCAACAACCAATTTTATAAGTAACACTTTCTTCGCATTTTGTACTCTAACTTTGATTTCAGCAGACTTTAAGTCTAGATTTGATGTTTTATCTTTTCCTTGAAATTACATGTGCCGAGCTGCATCAAGCGAAGACAATAAGTCAATATCCAGTACAGGTACGTTAGCCGTTATTCGTCTTCAGTATGGGAACTTAGCGAAAACATGGACCCGAGTAGTTATCGAGGGTAGACCAGATCCAGCACACGCACAGGTACTGCTAGCATTCACCACTTGTCGCATGGCATCAGCACGGTACGCTCAGGTCTATCTCATTGACCATGGTACGCGACAACTTGTGAATGCAAGGAGCTTATGCGAAATGCCAATTGAATTACTCCGTTTCCCACGTGAGTGTATGAGAAGAGAAAGTACTCCTTTTCTTAACTATCCTTTTTAGCGCAGGCATTTCCAATCGTCCCAAAAATATCTGAATCGACCGATCTTGGACCTGG